AACCTTAATTTTTTTTAATGGCATTAACTGGCCAAAATGTAAAATAGGTACTTATTGAATCCTTATCAAAAAATATGAAAAAAGGTCCTACAAACATGGGTAAGGAAATGCATAGTTTTAAAGATACAGGATGTTTAAACTTTAACTGGTTTGAAGAGTAATAACTTTTCGTCCGTACCTGTATAAAACTACTGAGTGAAAAAATATACATTTACAACGTTTTTTACGTAAAAAATGTTTCTTGGTAAAAATCGCTACGAGCAACCGTTCTCAAGATATTTAGAATGGAAATACCCACTGAGCATTTTATTCCTTTACGTTACCAGGCCCTTCTTGTGCTTAAGGCTAATATGAAGCAATAAAACGCAGATACGTTCCCTAATGCTCCCTAAATGTGACAGACTCACTGGGTAGTCAATACATGTCATTATTGACAAAAAGTAAACATGTGTAAAATTAATCATACATTTTTCTGCGAAAAAATTGTGATAAAAGAGTTTCTGTTGGACTTTTGGCACAAAAACATTGCAAATTTATGATTTCAGTCTAATAATTATTTAGTCAACATGTTTAATTTATGTCAATGATGACAGGTGTTGATAATTTCGATTCAAATTATCTCGAGAACCATTACTCGTAGCGATTTTTACCGAGAGACCTTTTTACGTAAAAAACGTCGTAAATGTATATTTTTTGCTTATAGTAGTTTTATACAGGTACGGACGAAAAGTTATTACTCTTCAAACCAGTTAAAAAATATGCAGGTGGCGCCCTCTACAAGTAGGAGTCATATTGATATCAAAATCAAATTTCTTATGTCAAAAAACGCTCAGACACCAATTTTCATCGAAATATTGACGTTACTTCAGAAATTATTTGGAAAAAATTGAAATAAAAATGAAACTTCTACACCCTCTATCTCCGAAACTAAGCATTTTAGGACATGCATACATTTATACGAACTTTTTTACTTATTTTTATCTGCAGAATACGCTGCCGGAAGTTTCAGGAATACAGTTCGAACCACCCTGTATAGAAACGACCCCGGTAATAATCAAGATAAAAAACATTCAAATATGCACACCTAAAAAACAAAAAAAAATGATGAACTAGTTGCGTAAAAACCCCTGTATACACCAATAATCGATAGACTATCTAAGTATTTTGATGACGTGAAGAGCTTTACCTCGTCATAATTATCTTCGATTGTCATTCCTCAGCCATCTCTAACGCTTTTTTTTATCATACGGTATTACTAAACTAGAATAATAATGTTGATATTTTTAAATAAAAAGTATCTAAACAAAAATATCATAAAATAAGCGATTTAAGATTTAATAAAATGTATCAAATCTTTCAAGTTATTTTTATTTATTGATTTAATTTTATACATCTATTTGTACATAACAGGTATTAACCAATCCTTTAACACCCACACAAGTATTTTGTTACAAAGTTTATTATTCAGATTTTTAGTGAATAGAAAACCGTTACTCAATTATTTCTTATGTATTTAACTTACATGTATGTAGCTATTTACTTGGTTCCATGTTCTGCAATATGAACAATAAATCAGTGGTGATGAAATATATCACTGTCGTATATACAATGCGAACGACTATGAAATAAGGACAATAACCTTTTCTCGTAAACATCTTAATTTGTTACTAATTTTTAAATGAGGTCAGAAAGTATAATATACTATTTAAATACATATCTATTTTATAATAAAATTAAGAACCAAAAGGGAATAATTAGTCATTAAAATTAATAGATATAAATGTATAAATCGTTGAAGAACATTCAAACAAATGTTTTGATATATTTTTTTTAATTTTCAACAAAATAAACTAAACATAGACATCAAAAATATGTCTTTAGTCTTTTTTAAAAGACAACGCAAAGGGAGAAGTTTGAAAAAAATACTAGACGACGGCCATTTTTTTCAAACTTCCGGCCAATGGCTAAAGAATGTAAGAACATACGAGGCGGCGCGGAACACTGCGGCGGATGGTAAGTCTAGCGGGAAAAAACATCAGTAGCGATGTTTGAGATTTAAATAAAATCTAAGAACGTAGCAAATGGTCTAATAGATAGTAACCATAAGAGTTAAATCCATTTATTTATTAACAACTTAATTTATTAGTAAATAAATAAATACAAAATTGATGTCCCGTTTTGTTGTGTGTTATTCTCGAGATTAACCGGACATCGGACCTTAACCGTAACATATATACTTGATATGTGCTAGCTATATGTCGATACTAGTTTTGTATCTCTTGTTAACATTTTAACACGTTTTTTTTATAATTAATGTATAATACCATCTACATAACCAGCATACACCATAGGCTTAGGTAAAACAATTATCAAAAATATAAATATCTCTACAAGCAGCAAGTTAAGAAAAATATGTGCTACGGCACTGTTTGGAGACATGGTAACAATTTGGATACAAAAGATATAAAATTTAGTAAATACTAAAAGGACCATTTTAAGGGAAAAAAATCGGTTGTCGGTTGAGTTGGAAAATATTTGTACTAAAATTTATGTAGGGGTGGGGTAGTTTTCACCCTTCCCGTATTTTCCTTGATTTTTGTGATAGTCGAATATTAAAGCACTTAGCAAAACATAGACACCCAAAATCTCATTCAAATGGGATTAACAGTTCTTAAAATATCTGAAAAAATGTGTTTCTTTTTTTAAGTCTGATGCCCTCTAACAGACAAGCGAAGCACTTTTGTATAGAGGTAAATTGTCTCCTTATTTTGATTCCAAAAATACGAAGTATGTATATACCTGTACGAAGTTCTATGTCCACGGAATATTGGGACACCCTGTATATCTAAAATAAACATAACACAAAAAATTTTCTAAAATAAGGGAGGTATTTCTGTTTTTTTTTATTTAGTTTTATCCTTGTATATGTTTTATTTAGCAACAGCCGTACTTGAAAAAAATTTGTAATTAATATGTAAAGGTGGGTTCGCACCAACTGCGCCGCTCCATATATTGTATACTATAATATATAGCTTTGGGTGAATTTTTCAATAAAATTCGATTTTAGTTGATTAAATTATGGCCTTCTAAATATGTATTTGAAGAAATTTGTATTAAAAGTTTAAATACGATTTTAAGTGTTATGTCCAGCATCAAACATAGGTTCGTTTCACTGTGCGGCGCAGCCGGTGTGAACGCACCTTAAAACCGTCTAACGGTGGGCTTTCTTCGTCAATTATTGTCTACACATTAATTAGAATGCTAATCACGAAAAATGGCATTTTCCACACAGGTGTAGTTGGTAATAAACTCACAGAAAATTGCTTACAGTACATCTGCTGGATCTGTGTCTACGAAAGGAATGCGGACAAAAAACATTTAAATAAACAACAATATATTTTATACGTCGACTTGACGAGTACGTCACCGCAAATCGCTCCGCCCACTCATTTTATTGGCTACTTTTAAATTTGTCGAATTTTTATTGATGAGATGCGTCGTCTAATTTTTTACGAAAAACATCGAGAGAATATCGTTTCCCCTCTCACGGATACCCCGTAGCTATAGAACGGACAGACGTACTGTATACATATACGTATAATATGAAAAATAAATAAAAATATGTTCTTTCCAAATAAGGAAATAAATTATACAGGGTCCGGCAATAGTGCGTCGGGCATCTGTAGCTCCTAGAATAAAAAACTTGAGAATTTTGTTTAAGTGCGAACCTAAAGTATGTGCCAGGATGTATTTCAAGAAAATATTTTATCTTCTATAGGGTGGCTCAAAAAAGTGTGAGTGGACCTTGATGATTTTTTTTAAATGGAATACCCTGTATATTATTGCATTTTTGGCTTCCTTTCAGATCACTTTACATAACCCTAAGATATGAATAAATATATTTTGATAGTTTCAGAGATATTAAAAAATAAATAAAAAATATGTATTTTTCAGCCCTTCTTAAAAAAATTATTCAAAATACAAGAACTGTCCTGAAATCAAAACTATATTAGGTATTTACTTTAGATGGTCTGTACTTACTTTGCTATAAATATGAAAATCGTAAATTATACAGAATGTTCAAAATTCTGCGTCAAACTTTCTAAAATATAAAATAATTTTTCCTCGTTTTTTAAATAATTAATTTATAAAACACCCTGTATATTATTTTTCAATAGACGGAGAATTAAAAAATGAACATTTTTGTATTTAGAGTATTTCAAAATTTTTAACGGTTTCGCAGATATTTGCGGTTTTATATTTCATATGGCATTTTCCACAGTAAATTTTTATCAAAGCCACCCAAAGATTTTTCTCTCGTATTTTACCATTGAAAGCGCCATATGAAATAATACTGCGCGTATCTGCCAAACCGTTCAAAATTTACGTTTTAAATACAAAAAATGTTCATTTTTTAAATCTCCATCTAATGAAAAAATAATATACAGGGTGTTCTGTTTAAAATAACACAGAAAAATTATTTTATATTTTAGAAAGTTTGGCGTAGAATATTGAACATCCTGTATGATATACGATTACCATATTTATAACAAAGTAAGAACAGACAAAAATGCAATTATATACAGGGTGTTCCATTAAAAAAAAATCATCCAGGTCCACTCACACTTTTTTGAGCCACCCTATAGAAGTTAAAATATTTTCCTGAAATACATCCTGGTACATATTTTAGGTTTGCACTTGAACAAAATTCTCAAGTTTTTTATTCTAGGAGCTACAGATGCCTGACGCACTATTGCCGGACCCTGTATGTATAGAGTGTTTAGCCATCGTTCAACGTGACGTCATATATTGTCGAACTCTCTCAATCACTTGCCAACCAGATGAAAGAGATTAGTGACGTCATTAGGGCATTTCGTAAATGAATGCATATTCTTTTTAGTAATTGTCATTGTCATTTTATTTGGGGTTATTATTTTATTGACGGGAAAAAATAAAAATCGATGTCAAAATTGAAATTTTATTGTTGCTGTAAAACAAAATTGAGTTTTTTATTGCAAAAATGCCTCAAAGATTTAATCAAAATGAACAAGAGATTATTGCTAAGCATATAAATTAGTTTTCTCGAGAAAGAGACGCTGGCAGAACACTCTTGGCCCGTGGACGCCGTATGGAGTACAATGCAAGGTGTAATAAATATTCCTATGTAAAATAAAAAGCGCTTTTAAATAATATAGCGAGTTGCTGATGGTTTAGAAATGGGCATTTCAACAGTCCGAAGGATTGGGATTAAAGAGATCGTAACTGATGAAGAGTTCAAGAAAAAATGAATAATGCCGAACAAAACTCGCCTCAATCAGTAATATGTATAGGAACATACGTAAAATTTTCTAAACAATATGAACTGACCTCAGACATACCCTAAAACTCATATTTGACAAATAATAATGATGACGTAATGGTGAACGATAGCCGAACAGTCTTTATCTGGAAAAAATAGCTTTCATGGCGTCCATTCGTCCAACTAGTTCTCTTTGAACTTCGTCAATCAGTTTTTCATTTACATTTACTATTTTTCAATTTTATGCGAAGGGGCAAGTTTTAATCACCCTGTACATAGGTACGCGTATTTTATATTTATCATTAAATTCGAAGGTTTATTTAACCGATAATAATTTTAAAATCACCTGTATTTTCTTTTAATTATGATGAAAAAATTATATCTATTAATTATAAATTGTTTTTAACTGTTAAAAAAGATTATAGGTACCTCATTAAATCCATTTTAAACAAAGGAAATTAAAAACGATACAAATGCAAGGTAATGTTTCTATTGTTAATAACAAATTCGCGATTAAAAGCTCAAGGGCAATATTATTTCCTCGTAATAAAGACCATAAAAATATTTAAAAACAATAATTTTTATTTAAAATGAGCTCTGTCTAGTAAACTATGAACATAAATAAAATATCTCACAGGAGACAAAGAACAAAAGAACGAAAAATTAAAACAGGCGATCCATGACGTTGAATTTATTTATAACTAAATAAAATGGCTAAATTTTAACGCGGGAAATTTTGTTACACTCAGTCGCACTTATCATCACATTACCAATGCTCAAAATAGAATATCTATTTCACAATATAAAATAAACACAACGCAACCCACAATACACCTCAATCGATGGCCATTTACCTACGAAGTTACTTTTACCGGATTAATCTTTTAAATCCATAACAAGAATGAAATTTTCGTGACAATCGCGTAACAAAAGGCTATTTTTCGCCGATTCGTCGACACTTTAACATTGTACCTGTTAAAAAATTTGATTAGAAAATGCAAAAGGTGTGATGTAACGAAGCAAATCAAATTAATATCTGTCGACTCGCACTTATCACATCTATTTTCACTTTTCGAACGGGGCGCGCTCGACTATCTTGACTCGGAGAATGTTTATTTCTTTCTGCATTCTCTACCTCCATTCCGTTTTATTCTAAAGCGCCAGTTAGTACGAGCACATCCCGAAACATTACGATCGTTTACGAATTTAACTCTGTGCCGTGACGTCATATAATTAGAGTAAATACAAAGTAGACGATGGTGTCAGCGTGCCATTTTCGTGTGCTCTTGTGATTAAATTCAAGAAAAAAATGGATATAAATGACATACAGGTATAATTTTTTGCATCCGATTTTCTAATGTAGTTTCCTATATTTTAGCGAAAGTCCGGTTATTTTACGAGTTACCGTTTTTGTTTTATTCGAGTTTTGTTATTGTTAGTGTTGCGTCGAGTAGTTTTTAAAATTAATTAAATTATATTCGTAGATATCCCACGCAACAATATACCTCGACTTTGTTATTTCGATCAATTATGCACGGTATTAGATTTTTTTATCGTTTTATTTTTGATTATTTATTCAAATTGTTGTTTATTGAATGTAAAATATATTATAATTTATTAAAATTCAAATTATTTCTGTTTCATATCAATTAGGTTGCATATTTATAGTTACGATAACAAAATAAATTCGAGTTTTCTAGCTTTATATACATATGTTCGTTATTTACTTTGGGTAGAAGCACTTATAATCTTAGATAACGATTTTTTTATTTATGTACCGAATAAATAAATGTGTTTAAAATATTTTTTATTGTATTTAATCCATGTTTTTTTTATTATTTCCAGTTAATTGGGGGTCCCTGCGGCCAACACGGGCCCTACACGTTTTTTAAGGCTTTCAAATACGTGAAGAACGGTGTTAAAAAAATAATAACTCTCAGTGAGTTTTTCTTTGTGAAAATGTGGCGAGACTCTGACTTGTTGTGCATTGGTGAATTGCAATTATTGTGGATAGATAAAAACAACGAACAGACTTTGGCCAGTTTGAGGCTGTATTTCCTGCCAGAAAACACCCCAGAGGGTCGAATGGACCAAGGAGAGGTAAGGACATTGATATTTATCATTTCTTTATATCGATTTATATTTTAAAAATAAACATATTTAATTTCCCTCAATAGTAAGGGATCAAGAAAAAAAGCATTAATCGAAAACAAGTAATATTTTTAGGATTGTAATTAGGTACGTCATTTAATTATAAATCAGTTTTCTTTTTAACTATTTTTAATGTAAATGAAGCCTTGGAAGTTAAATAAATTCGGCGTACAGAAACTGCGGAGCGGCCAACCGTACGATTCGATTTCTGCGTTGAAATTCAGGCGATATTTCCGCGCTCGCCGCACCGTTTGCCGCCTCTTCGATGAGGTGGTTCGCGTTCTCTCCAGTGGAGCTTACTCCAGCCGGTTTACGAAGATTATCCCACTCTAGTTTATGTTTCTCTCTCTACTATATATATGATATTATTTCTATGCTCCGAAACTTATTGTAATTTAAATGCCAATTTATATAAAGTTTTTAAAATGCTCTCTACCTGTAAATTCTGTTCGCTTTTGTTGCGGTTTAGTAATTTATTTTGTTTAAGATTGGTAGTAATAGGCGTGTTTAAAAATATCTATTTTAGACACATAAAAAGGAATATTTAGATGGTACAATAAAGTTGCTGACTTTATCGATTTTAACTGGCGAGTCGGTTTATCAGGAAAATTAAACAATTCAAGGGGATTATTTCAATTTTATAGGTTTTCATAAAAGTAGCATCGTTTATGGAGGTTTAATTACTATTAGTTTACAATAATTCTTTATTGAAAATGCATTTTGTAACAGAAATTTATAAATACCTAGGTACCAACCTACTTTATTGTAATTTTTAATTGTGCTAATACAGTAATTATGTAATTTCCTAAATTTTAATCTATATTAATTCAGTAAACGTGGCGTGGTTTTATATCTCAATCGCTTATTTCATCAATAAAAACATTTGTTTGTTCAATTTAAATACATATTTTTATGTTTATCACAGTTCTACACTGGTTTATGCGAAGAACGTCTATTATTATTAATTTTAATTTATTATGTTTTACCTATATATACCACATGTTAATAGGTATTAACAAATCTAAAATATAAGGCGTGTTATTAGGTATATTAATTTAATGCAGATGTTGCAAATTACTTATTATTCAATATTAAATAAAAATTTTATTAAAATATTTTGATGATTTTATTTTATCAATTTTTTATCAAACCTTTCATTAAAATGAATAAATCATAGAATTATCTTAATTTTATAGGTTTTTACAAAAAATGCATTTTTTAAATAATTAATAATTATTATTGTCTATATTAGTAATTATTGTCTAGATAAATATGCCGTGCCATTTTATTTTATTATAATGAGATTAAGTTCTTTGTTGGATATTGAAGATGTACCTAATACCAATACTAGGCATTAAAGAATACAAGGACCAATAACACGCGAGACTAAATTGTTACAATAGGTACCTCCAAACACTGCCGTGCCACACATTTTTCTTAAATTAGCTGCTTGAAGAGATATTTATATTTTTGATAAATGTTTTGACTACGCCTATGGTGTATGCAGTGGTCTATATCACACTAATTAATGACAAAAAAACGTATTAAAATTTTAACAAAAGGTACAAAACTGGTATCGACGTATAGCACATATCAAGTACATAATAATATAATATCGGAAAAATAATTATCAAATTCAATAAAAAAAAACGCTAAAAAGGTAGAGTGGACTGTTTATTTACCTATAAAAATAACTCCCGGTTCTTTCTTATCGTTGCGGCGTTTATACTTGGAAGCTGAACAAATCACCATTGCAATAAAGTTTATACAAAGTTCCCTACACACAATACACTGTTAAAAATCCCTAAAATTGTCGCTGGTGGTACATCCGTTTCTCCAAAAAAATGGCGTCTAACAACACAAATTCTGCCCCAGCCCGTATATGGGCGTTACGTATCCTTGTATTCTTTAGCTGTAATACAGGAGTTATAATATATAATACAGGCATTTTTTGATAGGCATTAAGTAGTTTATAAATATTTAACTATAATAAATGTGCTATTAAAAATTTATTTAATATAATTTTTATTAGGGTAATTCAGTAATTACAATTTAACCTTTATAAACTTTTAATTCATAATTCAGTAAATGTGGTTTTGTTTTATTTTATTTTGTCTTATTTTAGCAATAAAAAGATTGTCTTTTTCGCATAAATAAATATTTTTGTCAATCTCACGTTTACTACTGGTATAATATGTAACGAACATTTATTGTTATCAACTTATATTTATAATATTACATTAATTTAGTTAAATTTCGCTAAAAAATTAAATAATTCCAGAGCTTGTCTTTTATTTGATAGGTTTTTAAGAAAGTGGCATCTTTTAAATACGAGTACCTGTTTTTAATTATCTAGAATTATTGTACAATGGAAGGAAGTTCTTTGTTGAAAATATAATTTAATACCGAAGTTTATGAAAGTTTTTGTCGTGCTTTTTCAATGAACTAATATATTTTTTATTATAGGAGTTAAATATAATTTAACGTGATAAGAATGATAACTTTTAATTCACATTAATACGATAATAAGTGCCATGGCCGTATTCAGATTTCATTGTTTCATTTAAACAATAAAAATATTTTTTTTGCGCAAATAAACATTGTGTTTATCGCTCATTCACTAAATGAAGAACATTTATTATTATTAATTTTTCAATATATTTTTATTAAAATTAAACAATTCCAGTGGAATAGGATTCCTAATTTATAATTTAAACATTGTATAGAAATATTTCAAATATCAAATATTGTTCTTCAGCATTTATTATCGTTTTTTTAATGAACGCATATTCTTTGTGGACCAAGTAACATACCTAATACTCGTATGTACAAATTACAAATGCCTTTCAGGCAAATTTAATTTTTAAACAATTTAATAAAATAATTTAATATGTTTTTTATTAATTATGAATTATATTTTAATTTTGTTATTATTAATAAAAATTAAATAATTATTATTTATAATTTAAGATACATTTTAATTCGATATCTATATAGTATATATATTATATCACAGTTTAAAGAATATAAATATATATATATACATACATATATATATATATATATATATATATATATATATATATATATATATATATATATATATATATATATATATATATATATATATATATATATATATATATATATATATATATATATATATATATATATTTATATTCTTTAAACTGTGATAGTACATACTTACATATACCTACATACATATGTATATATGGCGTGTTTTTATCTCATTGTCTTATTACAATAATAACAACAATTCTTGGTTTTGTACAAACTAATGTATTTGCCATTATCACTACTGATTTCAATAAAGATCGTCTATTACTATTGTTTAATTAATTCTTAGAAATATTATATTGCTAATTGGGGGGCTAGGGTACTAAAACTACTTGTAGATGTATATTACCGTTGTTATTTCAATCAACGATATTACTCAGTACTCCCAGTGCTCAGTATTTAATAATAATTTTTAATTTTAAAATATAACAGTTTTGTAACATTTTTATTTCAAGTAGTTTTCAAAGAGTATGCGCTGTGGCCTGTGACGTTCTTTTTACAAGAGTCAAAAAAAGTAGTAAATACTAGAAGGACCATTTTACGAAAAAAAAAATCGGAGTTAGAAAATATTTATACTAAAATTTATCTAGGGGTGGAGGTAGTTTTTTTCGTAAGCACTTTTGTATAGAGATAAATTGTGTCCAATGAACTTATTTTGATTCCACAAATACGTAATAGTTCTATGTCCACGGAATATTGGGACACCCTGTATAAAGGTGTGTTCAGACCGCCTGCGCCGCTCCGCGCCGCGCAAAGCATTTTTTTAACATGTACTTTTGAAGTGTATTTTTTTAGTGCGCACAAAAGTATATATTAAAAAATGATTTCGCGGCGCGGCGCGGCGCGGACCGGCGCAGCTGGTGTGAACGCACCTTAATATTATATCTTTTGTATCATGAGAAAAAATACGTAGATTTAAAATACCAGCTTTATAATTATTTTTAGCCGACTGTATGGTAGGCTATTAAGATCGGCAAAAAAAAGTTTTTTTAATTTCACTCAAAATGAGTTATTTGGGTCATAAATGTCCTATATAATATGACCTAATACAAAGTATTTTCATTATGTCTGTCTGTCTGTCCGTCTGTAACACGACAACTCAAAAACCAACCGATTTTAACCAAATTTGGCGGGGGGTGGGGGGTTGGTAATGGGAGAATGGGAGGGGGTTAAAAATTTAAAATAATCGTAACTCCAAAATTACAGTAGCTAGCGAAACGCGGTTTTCAATTTAAGATTAGGAATATTTGCAACAAAATTTGTAATAACATCAAAATCAGTCAAAGTCGCAGTTTTTGAGATATTCCGTTTTTCCGTAGTCCGTTTTTGAGAAAATCCGTGTGGAGAACTCCAAACTCCCATCGGACGCGACCCCAGGTGGCGGATAAGGCAAATAACCGCGGACCAAAATTGGAAGAATTCCTTTACTTTGAAACTAAAAGAACTGCGTACCAACTTTTTATTAACATATTTTAGTATGGGCGGCTATACTTGCCTCCCGGGCCAATTTTTTTAATTTACCTTTGTTTTAAAAGGGTAACCTTTGTATTTTGTATCTATTCTTAGTACAACAAAAATAAGTGTAAAATTTTTATAATGAATCACATATGCTTTGAATTATTAACTTGACGATAAAAATACATTTATCATATAAATAAACAACTATTTATTTTTGCTGTGGATATGGTTTCTGTTATACACAGATTTATCGTGTTATCAAAACACTACATTATTATATTAAATTATGTTCAGTAAATGGTTTGTGATAGTTTAAATTTTATGGATTTATTTATTAACAATAAAAACGGACGTTAGCTGAAAATAACACGTTACATTCTTTAATTTTCTATAAAAATTCTATTTGTGTTTCC